CTTCTTATAGCTGTTTTTTTTATCCTGAATACGGAAGAACTCTCCGTCCCAGAGTCTCGAAATCTTCCTGAATTTCCGCAAGAGGTTTTTCAACGGTGTCATACATGCCTTGTTTTTCTTTGGATATTGACTTTAGCGTTGACTGCGACATCTACACGGAGGGGTTTCCAGAGCTTAACTCCTCCGTGTTCCACCAAAAATCCGAGAAGGCCCTACTTGGACGAGGTTGAACTTAAGCAGTAAGAACTCCCGAAGCGTTTGAGCTGGACTACCGCCGCTTGTTCATTTGTTAGTAAACTGTACCTGTTGCATCTGGGTGGTCCCCGGGCATTTTGGCACAGCGAAGAAACTACTGAACTAGACTATCTATTCCACCTTCAAACCCACAATGAAATATGAGTTAGAGAGTTGATGCACGATCAGACAAACATTCACGGGTTTTACCCATTGCATAACAGAATACACAGATAGAACAATATTTTTATGAACTCAACTCGAAACGAACATTAGTGAACTACAACGGATAAAACGACTACTTAGAGAGTCCCAAGAAAGATCAGGGGCCTATGGCCAGTGAACTAGAGTTCCAGGTTGGTAAGTTTCATAAGACATTCTAAGGGCCGGAGCCCCACGGGACCGTAGCGCAAAAAATTTGAGAAAAAATGAGCCGCTCGAAGCGGAAGTAAAGACAAGAAGAATTAGGGCCGGCTCGTGACGAGAGCCACCGTCGTTGCCGAGGGTGGGATTCCCGCACGATCATGTTGATTGTAGGGGTCAATTGCTACGGTGACCACCGCGGGCGTCGCCGCACCCGAGGGTCCCTCGGAGTGATCCTCGTGATACACGACACTCCCGCGCCTCCAAAAGACCCTCTATGGGCGTAAGCCTCAGGCTTTCGCCTTATGGCGTAGCGCGCGACAGCTGCACCTCGACCCGCTGCCACTTATATTGCAGCGAAAGAAAACAAAAGGGTCACTGACCATCGGGTTTCCTTCTCTTAGAGGAGACTTTCTTCTACAAATCGACCTGCTTCAGCTTCTGATTTCAAATATGAACTACTAAAAGGCTTCCCTATAGTTACTTTCTCAAAACAGCTTCTCATGGAGTGGGTTAGTGGAACACAACAATAGATGAACAGATAACAAGGAGTTAGTAACAACTTGTGAAAAGAACAAAAAAGATCTTCGACGAAAACACCAACGTAGGTCTGAAACTGCTATCGAAGAAACACGTTTTACCCTGGAAATAAAGGTCTAAAACCATAGAAAGAAAAACTTCAAAGTATCCTAGGGGTAGTTGTCCCCAGCAAATGGAAAAAAGTGGTCTCACCTCAAAGGGATCTGCCGGACAAATTGCCAGTAACCCGAAATGAACTAGCGTAATTTTGACTTCATGGGGTGAGATGCCTACTTGAACTAGAACAGACCATTGGGTGAAAAAACGAAACACTGAAATAGCTTCTTGAAAGTGTAACGTTTGAGAACAAAATCAAACACTGAACAATTTCATGAGGTGCAACCTTGAGTTAATTGTTGAGTTAATTGAAAATTGAATGAGTGAACTATCTCTTTCGTATTTTTGTATTTTATTTTTTTTGTTTTCAAAGACCTGCTTAATTGAAACTGAATTAGTTGAAAAAACAGAACGGAACTGGTTATCGGAACGAAAAGCTGAACTAACCAAAAGATGAAAATACTGAACCACATGTAAGTATTCTCTATGTTTACCACGACTCATCGCTGTTTGGGGAAAACCCCAAGTTTTGTTTGTCATTTGTAGGAGTCTGCGAGCGTGGAGCCTCTTCTCTCTGATTTTCGGGGAAGTCCAATGGATCGTCGACTCTTTCGCGGTCTCTATATGGGCGAGCGTAGGGGCGTCGGGATGTCACGCCTGGTGGAGGATTTCTGTACGTCCTGAGGCGAACTTCGTCATAAAACTGCTCTGGTGGTACGGTTATATCCGAGACAGCCCATGGATTCTGAAGGCAAAATGTACGATGATGACCGTCTTCTTTGCAGATACTGCAAGGGTCTCTTCTTATACAGATACCATAATGGCGTTTCACGCAATTGCCGCAGAGACCTGTTCTTTCTGCTCTATCGAGTCTGCTGCTAAGGTATGGAAAAGACGGACAGTCAGAGGTGTAGTGATCACGATCATTGCAAAAAGCGCAAGACTCTACCCAAGAGTGGCCTGATCTCGCGGGGCGCATCCTGACCGGAAAACGCCGATTCACACCTTGTACGCGTGAACTAGATTGTCGGTATGATCCGCCACGACGAGCCTTTACCGGGATGAGGTGAGCTTCTGGACTACTCGAATCGTCTTCGTGTTGCCTTTTCCCTACTCCACGGGCGCCTCGGGGAATAACCGGTTCAGAGGTGGACAGATGTCCAGCCTCCCCGCCCGCGAAAGGATCCTCTTGAGGCCAGCTTGAGTATGGTGCCAGAGTCGGGATTGTAATTGTCTTATTTTGATGAGTAGCTGAATTACGAGCCTGTTCTTGTAAGCGTCTATCCACTGTGCTTATGCGGAGGTATTCGTCTGTCACACGTATCATTAACGCGTTGGAATAGTTATCCCTCCACCAGCGCAACGTTTGGATATAAGAGCTGGGCTCATCTGACCAGGTAGGTGGCATCGAGGCAGCTGAATCTAACCTGTATTGTTCGTCCTCGGCAGTTACGCGCACTTTTTTTCGATTCATAAAATGTACCATTTGATGTGCTTCGAGGACTCTGATCATTCTGGTTGCGTGCGCTGTTACCGCGGAGCTGTGCTGTAGTATTTCTTTTATCATAGCCTCGGTAATGTTAAACAACTGGAGAGTTGCCCGAAAGTGGTCCTGTTCATGGGACCAGGAAAGCAATCGCGGTATAGTCAGTTCTTGCAGCTGATCTCTGTGAACTATTATGGCGGTGATGCTATGATGGAGTTCTTGTATCCAGCCCATCAAATGCGTATACCGGATTTCCAAGGGTTGCCTTCGCACCAGAAGGACCGCTAGATTGTGAAATGAACTAACAGTATTTTGAACTATCGCAAGTAAATTCTGTAGTAAGTGAACAATTTTTGCGGCCGTTTCAAAATCAGTTGGTCGTGCCGGCGTCGTTTCCGGCGCTGGGACGACCAGATTTCGAACCTGGTCACGCAGAACATTGTTTGTGGTGATATAATCAAAAACGACGCGGAATTGGTGCGCTGTCATTTCTTCGATTGAATAAGGCTCAATGTCTGATGTACTATACGGCGTCACTCCTTTGCATGAAGCAAATGTACTAGCCGAGGGGTTGCGTCTTAGCGGGGCATCGGGCCTTTCGTTGACGGCTTTCCTGTCATGGTACTCTCGCAAAAATGTTACCACTGCAGCGAGACGCTCCTTTTTTCTTTGTTCAGCTGCCCTCTTTGCCTCCCTATTCTGTTGTATTTTCGTGCCCATCTTTGCCATATCTTCCAAAGTAAGGATGATACCCTCAGGTTTTTCATTTTGTGGTTGAGGTGTTGCTTTATTGGGTTCCCAGTTGGCTGGATCGGTGTCTGGCATTAGAGGAGGTTGTGGGGTGTCGCTAGTATCCATTGATTCAATTTGTTCTTCCGGATCGTTTTCCCCTTGGTTAACTGACAGCGAAGCAATGGCAGGTGTTATGCTATTCTCCACCGATTCGGATGGGCGACGACTATTTGTTGAACTAGTATTTGAATGCGGGGTGTTGTTTGAACTATTATTGTTTAAGTCGCAGACAGGAGTGACCCCACGCTCGGTCGAAGGTGATTGGCAGAAATTTGCTGAATTACTCGAACTGAACCTATCTCGCCTCTCACGGCGTTTCCACCCTCGTCCGCGGCCTGCTGGTTGTCCTCGACTGAACATACCACGACGGGACATAATATGTAAGTCGCACTAATACAACGACAATCTGAAAAGGAAACGCTGAACTAGTAAGCAAGGAAAGATATCAATCGATTACTTTCGCTTAAACGATATGATTCTTGGAGGCATTACGTATTACGAAATGTAGGGAATCCGAAATCTATTGTTTGAACTAAATACTGAATTGATGGAGCATGAGACTGGCGACACATATGGTTTCTTTTAAGATTGTACTTTTTCACAATTCAACGGCATCATTTCACCGCAATAACATAATGTACCATGTATGATGAAAGAGATGGTAATTGTTTTGGTCAACAATGTCATGCGGCGAACAACAACATGCAGTGAATTAGGATGGACTATGAATAACAATGTCAAAAGAAGCCAAATGTGTCGCGAAAGTGTTCACTAACATGAGGTTGAATTGAGGTTAGTTATGCATGAAAGTATATCAGTAAATTACTTCACTTAATTATGATGTGCTAATACGTGTGCTGATAAGGACGCGAAAAGCAATTGAAGATTCTCGAAGTGAGTGTGAAAGTTAGGCGCCAATACTAAGTTCTTACTCGAATCGAAAAGTCGCTGTAGGTTGCATGATAGTTTCAACTAAATTTCGCATAACAAAGCAAATGCGGCACTAAATTGAACTAAACTATGCTTGGATAACAGCTTTCTTTTTGACAAACTGTGCGCTAACAGGCAAAATCATAAATTACGATTTCGCGCGCAGCCGCGAGAATACGACTGTTATTTGCGCCGCTCAATCAACTGAGTTTAATGAACTATTGCTGAGTTCTCTGAAGGAACCAACGAATAAGTAAGTGTCAAATAGAACGAGTGAAATGGTTAGACACGAATGAAGTGAGTGAACGGAGTAAATTGTGGCCTAAAAGGCAAAAATCAGAAATTACGATTTCGCTGCGCTGATACGCAGCCGCTTGATAATCGATTTCGATCTATTCGTGGCGGGACCCGCCACTGATGTAGCTTTGTCTGCCATCAGGTAATCGATATGGATAGATTTTTTGTGTTATGTTTTTGTTTTGATTTGGCTTTTCTATATGGTATGTTTGTTTTGGCGTGCATGTTCTTAAGATTAGTAGTTATTCGTATGTTATGTAGGCTAATGAAGTATTCTTGTTTTAGCCGCTCTTGGGGGTTGTAATCTAAGCGGTGTTGTACTATTGTTTTGCAATTCGCGTCCGTTTTCAGCATTAACTTCTAGGGGAACGAGCTGATTAATTGAACGCTCGAGGGTTTTATTAGCCCCCGTTTTTAGTGTAACGGATCTGACCGAACCATCTGATGAACTATGAAGTTGGGTTATTATTGCAAGTGGCCATGCAGATCTGTTTATGTTTTCTTGTTTGATCAGCACGACATCCCCGACTTTAGGTCTACTTTTACTCCCTTGTCTAGGAACTGCCTTGTATTGGGCTTTCTCGGCAAGTGCATGGAGGTAGTCTCTGTGCCAAGAATTCCAGAATTGATCCAGCATGTCCCGTAGGATGGTGTAGTGACTGATTAGGTGAGCATGTGAATCGGAAATATTCAGACGATTGATTGCATGATTGACTGAATTAGAATCTGTGACATTTGCTAAAGTGAATTGCGGGCATATTAGGTCTATAGGACGTAATGCTAGCGGTTCATCGTTGGAGTTGGTTATGACAGGAGTTATCGGTCGCGTATTGAGCGTGGCTTCTATTTCGGAAATGAGAGTTTGCAAATGCCATAAAGTCATGCTCTTTGTGTGGACTGCTTTTTTCAAAGCCAGCTTCACTGAACCTATCAATCTTTCATAAAATCCACCCTTCCATGGGGAGAGTGGCGTAATGAAATCCCATTTTAGGTTCTGTGATGTTGTGAATTTTTGAACTAAGGGATTTTCTTTGAACTGGACTAGCTCATTGATCAGTATTTCCTTTCCCAATTTGAACGTGGGTGCATTATCACTTATTACATAACTTGGGGCACCCCTCCTTGCTACAAATCGTCTGAATGCGAGCAAGAATTGGGATGCGGAGTTGTCTTCTACCACTTCGAGGTGTATAGCACGGGTCGTCATGCACGTAAAAAGTGCTACCCATACCTTAGATTCGTGACCGTGCTCATTTCGAGTTTTGAGTGGACCAAAGTAGTCCAGCCCTACGTTCTGGAATGGGCGACTTTGGACCACTCTTTGCGAAGGTAGATCCGGTGTACTAGGATATGAATAGTATCGACCTTGATATCGTTTGCAAGTGACGCATTTCGAAATCACGCTGTTGACTAAACGACGGATTTTAGGAATGAAATAGTGATTCCTCAATGCCGAAACTAGGTGAGATGATCCGGCGTGAAATAGCTTTTGGTGGAAATGCTCCACAATCATTCTTGATAGGCGATGATTTGATAGGAGAAGAATTGGATTCTTAGCCGATGAGTCTAATTGAGCATTACCCATTCTGACGTTGCATCGATAGATTCCGTTTTCGTCCTGGGTTACTCTGAGGCGGTTCAGTATGCGGCTGTGCAGTTGAAGTGCTCCTTCACGATAATGCTCACGCAGTATGAGGAGCTCAGCATCTCGCATGTCGTCCGAAGTGATGGCTACTATTTTGTTTGCTGTATTCGCGTTTCTATTGATCGACGGGCTAGTTTTTCTTTCCGATGCTGCTCGAGACTTAAGTATCCTAGTATATTTGAGTACGTGAGCTGTTATACGAACTAATTTGGTGTACGAATTGGTTCTGTTGAATGGTATGAACGATTCGTAACCTTCTGTAGTAACTGTATGAACGAGCTTAAATTCCTTTTCCGCTTCTTCAGGGAGTGGTGAGTGAAAATCTTGTACGGAGTTTGCTTCGGGCCACTCGTTGCACGGTCTGGTGACAAACCTTGGGCCATGCCACCACATATGTTGTACTAATTCTGAAGCTGTCAAACCTCTCGTCGCAGCGTCGGCAGGATTGTGCTCAGAGTTGACGTAATGTAAGTGGCTTGGGATTTTGCTCTCTTCGAACTCGTCTAGCACTTTCCTTATGTATGACACTCTGTTATGAACGAACGTTTTCAATGGTTTTTTAGACTGAATCCAATACAAGGCTATTTGGGAATCGGACAGTATTTGGATTGAACTAATTGGGATCTTTAGTTCTTTGAGAAGAAATCGTATTGATTTCACTGCAAGTACCAGTGCCAAAAGCTCTAGCCTTGGAATGGTTGCTTTTTTAGGAATTGTCAATTTAGTTTTCGAGAATATGATGTTGCTCACAGGGTTTTCACCATTCTGTCTGCATACTAAGTATGTGACAGCTGCGTAAACCCTCTGAGAAGCATCAGAAAATACTATTAGCTCATACTTGGCTTCTTTCGACTTGCCAATAAACCTTGGAATATCTTTGGAGAATCCATTCATCCCCTGAACTATTTCTTTCCACCTTTTCGTCGTGTTTTCGTCCAACGGGTCGTCCCATGAGTACTTACTGACCCATAAATCCTGAATGAATGTTTTTGCTTTGACTAGTAGGGGGGCGAGCAAGCCCAATGGGTCAAAGGTTGACGCATACGATTTTAATGCTGTTCTTTTTGTGGTTACTTCCTTCGACAGTGTCTTGACGGGGATGTGGAGAGTATCTGAGCTCGTATCCCATTTAAGTCCCAGTAATTTGATTGTGGTGCATGTCTTTTTCATGCGGTCTTCGAGCGGGATCGCATGTAAGACACTGTTGTCATTAGTCATGAACTCGCGAAGGTTCATACTCATTGCCCTGAATGTTTCTTTACATTGTTTTTGTTTTGTAACACCTTCGGCAACGCTGTGGGCGCCAATGATCACGTTGTCAACATAAGTATTTGCTAAGATTTCTTCTTTAAAGCAGGTGATGTCGCCTTTTTCGAGAGCGTACTTAATTGACATACTGAGTAGAAATGGTGAGGCATTTACTCCGAATGGAATGCGAGTGAACCTTAGTATACGAATATTATCTTTCGTGGGCCTTTAGTGGGATCTTTCAGCCAGAGGAATCTTGTAGCATCCCTTTGATCTTCCTGCAACCGTATTTGATGGAATGCTTTCTCTACATCTGCTATAATGAGGATTGGACTAAGTCGTGATCTTAATAGTGTTCCGCACAGGTCGGGTATTAGGGATGGTCCTTGATGAATGCAATCGTTGAGGCTTGCTACGCCTCTCATATGACTTGAAGCATCGAAGACTATGCGTACTTTGGTGGTAGCGCTATCTTCCTTGATGACAGCCTGATGTGGTATGTAGTATACCCGTTTGTTGGCTGGCTCTTCCTTTTTTACGTCCTCTATTATGCCTGAGTTGAGCTGTTGCTCAAACGTTTTACAGTACTCTGTCCATAGTGGAATATTGTGTCGTAGTTTTTCGTATTGACTTTCGAGTCTGCGAAGTGCTAAAGCTTTATTATCTGCCAGATGTGGATGGTCCGTTTTCCATGGGAATTGTACGTGAATCAGGCCGTCGATTATTTGTACTGTGTCACGATACCGCTTTATCACTTCGTTATCCGCGTCCTCATTGTCTTCTTTCATACCAGCCATTTCTAGACCAAAAAGATGTTGTACTATCTTTTCAGTCTCTCTGTTTGAATCTTGTTCATCCTTAGGACGTCCGAGAGCAGAATGAACTGTAGATGATGGTGATGGCGAGTAACCTGACAGTACGGGTCCAAGTTTTGTTCGACATTCCACCAGTCCGGAAGGAAGCCGACGATTGAATTTGAAGTCGACCAGGTCCCAGTAATAATCCATTCCGATTAAAATGTCTACTTCGACTTTGCTTCTGAAGTGTTTGCGTCTTTTCTCTTCATCTCCATCTGTGGAAACAGTTGTTATGAAATTGCGGGTCCACAAGTGGAGAGGTGTTGAGTTGCCATTTCGGATGTTTTGAAGTACAACGTTCACGCGGTAAGATGTTTCGGTTTGCGCATGTCCTCCGAATGTCATTGTAGTTATTTCTTGGGGGCATGTGAATTGTAACCCTAGATCTTGAGCGACATTTCGCTTGATGTAACTATGCTGTGAACCGCTATCCAATAATACGGTCACTAGCTGGTCGGAGTCGTTGTTGTAATTGCGTGTACTTGCCTTTATTATCATAAGGCGAGGGGGATTTGCCAAACTGGCTACTTTACATGCAGCAAGTTGTGGTATGTTATGATCTGATGACATGTGCGAGGATGCTTTCATTGTCTGGACTGCGTTCACAAGGAACAAGTCATCTTCTGAGTGATCATCTTCTTGTAGGTCTGAGTGGTTTGCAGTATACTCCACTTCCTGGGTATCTTCGTGCGTTGTGTACGATGGAGTGGAGTAGATGTGACTAGTCGGAAGATTCTTGAACCCAACTTTGGGGTGTGGTGATCCTTTCCTATTTGTCTTATTATTTCTTTGAAAGGCTTTCTCTCTGTAGTTAGGACTTGGTGATCGAGAGACCGTCCTGGATCTATTCCTGAAACCTGAACTAGACGAATAGCTGTCTGTAGAACTTCTCCTGTATGGCTGACGTTGTCTTGGGCTGTTGGATCTACTGCTACTACGCGATCTACTATTGACGTAGCAAAGAGCGCTATTGTGTGCTCTGCCGCATTTCAGACATGGCTGAGCGTTGCATTGTGAACTACGATGACCACTTTTAAGACATTTCCAGCACAGATTCAGTTCCGCTGTCATTTTTCGTCTTGCGTATGGGGATAGGACTTCGTTACAATCGTAGGCGCTATGACCTGTGCGTACGCAGAAGGCACACCGAGAAAGTTCCCGTGACTTATGTGAACTACCAGTGGAATGAAGCGGCCTATATGGGCTAACTCTTCGCCCTTTTGTGTGTTCTCTTATTTTCGCATTCTTGGAAGAGTGTGAGCCTGCCCATACATTATTGATCGTGGACGATTGTGAGGCAGACAGCAGTGGATCATTGTCCTCCATAATCTCCAGTCGATCGATGACTTGATCGAAGGCGAGTATCAATTCTTCTGCGGTCCACTCATCGTTCTTTTGCCTCATTTCTCCTACCTTTTCTCTGGTTTTTTGTGGGAATTTAGAACGAATTATGCGCATTGTTGTAGTAGATCCTGGTTGTTCTTTCAGATTCTTCAGCTGGACCCATATGGCCTTTATTTTACAAAGTGTACTACGTTGATCGGTTGGAGTACTATCTGCGGGAGGTAACATTTCCAGCTCTTCGACTAGTCTGTTTCGCAGAACTTGTGGACGATTGTAGGTACTGAGCAGAAGATCTATTGCCTCTTGATAGTTCTCCGGAGATAAGCGAACAGAAGCGATCAGATCTTTGGCCTTGCCTTTGAGTTTGCTTTTGAGGTGTATGAATTTGGTAGCGGGAGATAACGTCGGGTTGGAATGGATCGCGACGGAGTACAATTCCCAGAAGTCTGGGAAGGCACTCATATCTCCACTGAAATCAGGGAGTTCTAGCTTAGGCAGATGAACTGTCTGGTCTAGATGTCCTACTGAACTATGTTCTGCGTGCTCTGTCTCTTTTTCCTGTGAAGTACTGAGGGTAGAAATTATTGTTTCTAATAGAGAAACCGAAAGTTCACCTCTTATCAAGAGTTCATCCGAACCGTTGGCGTCCCAATGGTCTGTGAACTCCTGCAAGAGGGTGTACTGTTCATCACTATCAGTTTTGGTGGCAGCGTGGTTTTCAGCGCGCTTCCAATTATCTTTCAGAGACTTCATCAAATATTTAAGACTCATTACTGCTTCTTGAAGTTTAAATTTCTTCTGAAGTAGTATGGTATCTCCGCAAACCTTTGCATCCGGAGCAGATCCATCCAATTCTTGCTCGACCGATGAGATTTTCGCTCGTAAGGCATTTGCAGCCTTCGTGATTTGGCCTTTGAGATAGCCATTCGCTGACATTTTTACAGTGAATAACCGTAAATAATACCCGAGTATAGGCTTTTAACCTGAAATCTTCTGTTCGAGTTAATGCCTGACCATTTCATTAGAAAGTCACGAAGTGGATAGTTAGTGCAATGTGGGCGAATAATGACACTGTAGAGTGGAAGAAATGAATGTTAACAATCACAAGGAAAAATGAGTTAAATGTGTTATTGTTTATTACTGTTATGTAATTTTTTGCCTCAAGACTACTTTTTTTTTAGGAAATTGATTGTAGGAATTTCTAACATTCGAAATGAATAAGATGAACTAAGAATTGTTTTGAAAACGGGTTTGATGTCGGACTAGATGCCTTTTTGAATTTTGCCCCTTTGTTTATGCCTAGTCCAGCTTGCGTAGTTGTTAAGTAGCAGGTGACCTCCCATGATTTTTATAGCGTTGAAACTAAAACATGAATTCCCAAAGTTGTCAAACTAGTGTGACTGAAAGGGGGGAAGGGTGACTTCCCAATGGCGTGAGCCACCGTCGAGCAAGTAGACCTGCGTATAACACCGTGCCCATCGACTACCTCATTGGATGGCCAGTCCACATGGTAGATGGGATGAGGTACCTCCCCTGGTGCGCCCGACTTGGGACTAACTAGATTAACGGTCTAGACCTCCGGCCTACTTTCCTTTCCTTAGGACAGCGATCCACCCTTCACTGGCACGCACTCCCCGCCAGTGGGGGCTGGAGTATCTGAATACTCCCAGATTTAAGGCGCTGGCTCTATCCACTTGAAGCCACCTTAACTTGATAACTTTGAATTACTTTTTTGTCGTACCACTTGCAGCCCCTGCGCATGGACGCTGAGTTGGCTAGTTGCCACAGTCTAACCAGACTAAGACGTCCAGGGCGTATGTGGTGACTTAGTCAATGCATGTGTCAGCTCTGTACTATGTCTAACCATTGGGAGATCCTGCACTAGAAGACTCTGAACTAATGCTTGGGTGGGGTCCGCCCGGGTGGTGTGGTAGGGGTCGTTCTTTGTACTATCGACTGAAGAAATCGATATCCATCCGAGTTCGAATACCACCGGCCGATGCACCATGTTGCATCTGGGTGGTCCCCGGGCATTTTGGCACAGCGAAGAAACTACTGAACTAGACTATCTATTCCACCTTCAAACCCACAATGAAATATGAGTTAGAGAGTTGATGCACGATCAGACAAACATTCACGGGTTTTACCCATTGCATAATAGAATACACAGATAGAACAATATTTTTTATGAACTCAACTCGAAACGAACATTAGTGAACTACAACGGATAAAACGACTACTTAGAGAGTCCCAAGAAAGATCAGGGGCCTATGGCCAGTGAACTAGAGTTCCAGATTGGTAAGTTTCATAAGACATTCTAAGGGCCGGAGCCCCACGGGACCGTAGCGCAAAAAATTTGAGAAAAAATGAACCGCTCGAAGCGGAAGTAAAGACAAGAAGAATTAGGGCCGGCTCGTGACGAGAGCCACCGTCGTTGCCGAGGGTGGGATTCCCGCACGATCATGTTGATTGTAGGGGTCAATTGCTACGGTGACCACCGCGGGCGTCGCCGCACCCGAGGGTCCCTCGGAGTGATCCTCGTGATACACGACACTCCCGCGCCTCCAAAAGACCCTCTATGGGCGTAAGCCTCAGGCTTTCGCCTTATGGCGTAGCGCGCGACAGCTGCACCTCGACCCGCTGCCGTTTATATTGCAGCGAAAGAAAACAAAAGGGGTCACTGACCATCGGGTTTCCTTCTCTTAGAGGAGACTTTCTTCTACAAATCGACCTGCTTCAGCTTCTGATTTCAAATATGAACTACTAAAAGGCTTCCCTATAGTTACTTTCTCAAAACAGCTTCTCATGGAGTGGGTTAGTGGAACACAACAATAGATGAACAGATAACAAGGAGTTAGTAACAACTTGTGAAAAGAACAAAAAAGATCTTCGACGAAAACACCAACGTAGGTCTGAAACTGCTATCGAAGAAACACGTTTTACCCTGGAAATAAAGGTCTAAAACCATAGAAAGAAAAACTTCAAAGTATCCTAGGGGTAGTTGTCCCCAGCAAATGGAAAAAAGTGGTCTCACCTCAAAGGGATCTGCCGGACAAA